ACACAATGGCATGGTTGCGGGGGTTGAAGGCGCTACAAATCAACCATCACCGTCCCGGTAGCTCATGATTGGCCCAACCATTGTTCGATAAGAGGCGGGCCTCGCGTGTTCAACGGCTTGCAGCACGCAAGCCTGCAATGATGGCTTCGGCGTTGCGGCGGCTCCGAGCTGTGCACCCACTTACTCAACTCCGACCTGTCCTACTCCTGGCCCGGGGAACCGTTCCCTCTCTCGAGCGCAGGGTCGTCGACGAAGCCCTGTCACTTCTCTCCTCTTTTGACGTTACAGCGCAGATGCGGTCAGGAAGACGAACTACTGTCCGGGGAACTCTAAAGTACATCATATCATCCTGGATATCGACTACCAGCAAAGGTAGCTCCGGTCTACCTACCTATGGCACACCCATTGCTGGACTTCATCCACTCGGATTGCTTGCCCTCGCAGTCTTCCTATCACTTTCACAGGTCAAGAGCCGCTCTCTTTGCAAGACTGTGATGCCTCCTTGTTGACCGACAGAAAATCAGTCATTTTTGTATCTGTACATCGCACATCTTGGCGGCTTTTGTCCGTGCCCACCTGGGCGATCGGCCTCTTCTTACTCGACCAGATCCTGGCCACAGGATCACATTATCAATCAGATAATCTTTCTGTCAGGGGATCGCTCCTCCAATATATGTCCCCATCGTCTCCTGATGCCAAGAAGCGTTGTGTAAGGCAACACGTGTGCCTTCCATCCCAAACTCTTCACTTCCGTTTTCTCGGGTCTCGCCTTCAATCTCGATCATCGTCTGAGTCCAGGAATGAGACCTGCCATTCACTGTGTGCTGCAGAACGGAGCCAGGCATGTGTATCTCAGGAGACGTCTGTATCCCTTGGGTAGGAGACTGCTCTGTAGCAGTATCAAATAAGAAATCTGGCGGAGCAATGGAATCTGAGACACATAATCTCATTTCTTGCGAGTCACGATTCCCTTGGCCGGCAAGTCAACGGTTCCCAAGACAGGTGACCGCGCGTCGGTACCCGGCAAGCCCCTTGCGATCCCATAGCTGCCGGTTTCTTGTGTTTTCCTCTTCGGAGTAGAGTAGGCTACGGATACATCACCTAGATGCCTCAAGATTTTAATTTGCTGCATCTGCCGCTAGGTAATTTGCCGTGGTTGGTGATGTTTGTTCCGGCGCGACGTACGTAAATTTCAACGTCGACACGCCAGCCATCTAATTCCCTCTGTGTGTCCGATCTTCGCATGCATATCTGGTAGAAGACAGAGCGTCAAATAAAGCGGTGACATCACTTGTCCGAGCAGATCTTTCGGTGGTTCCTAGATACAAATCGCCTAACCCACCACAACTTCTGTAGAGCCCTCAAGATCAAAGCACACCTCAACCCAGCCGCCACTTAGCCGTCAAAATTTTGAACGGTCATCGAAACAGACACAACGCCAGGCGTAACCTAAGGCAGTCCCAGGATTCTACCGGTCGACGCCCTCAAGGACCCATCTCAAGCGTAGACGCGGTGACGCGCTACCCATACTCGAGGCTGGCCAAGAACAGTTTGGCCTGCCCCCCCCCCCCCCGCCGAAACACTCACAACTCCCCTAACCCATGATTTGGTACCATTCATTGGGCAATGCCTCCTGCTTCATTCGTGCCGAGAAGCGAAGCCATTATCGACACGACTAGGCCACATTCACCATGCCGATTAACGTCGGGGAGGCGGAGGATCACAGTATGCAGGCGCGAGGCGGGACGTAACCCGGGCCCAGACTCTGTGTGTGCAAATCGTCATTTTGCGAGGAGGCCAAGAGGAACTTTGGTTTTCGTAAGTGTTGTGATTGTTGTACTTTCACCCTTGTCATGCCGTTGCCCGCCCGCTGTCGTGGTCACGAACGAGAGCCCACAAGGCGAGCCTGCAGGACGATGAAGAGACGCCGGCGAATGGCGGCTCTCGTTAATATGCTGACGTGAGTTTTTGATATGGACTCTGCAGGGGGGAAATATTTTGGCTAATCCAACAATGGTTTCGCCGGGGGTAGGGGGGTTTGGGAGATGTCGACCTTCTTGTTGTAGAGTCCCTGTCTTCCCCGTGTGGACCGTTTGTACGTGAATCCGAGGGGCGAGGCGAGACGAGGCGAGGCTAGTCAGCATGACACCGCGTCGTGATAGGAGAGGGGCCCGAGGAGTTTGGGGGCCAAAGAGGGAGATAAGATCCCTAGAGAGTACGAGCCTCTTTTGTTCTTCCCCTCGTCGTGCAGAGATCAAGTTGTGACTTGCTTACGCTTAAGCTCCCACGTTGTTGCGTACGGGTAACTACACTCGAAACGCAGCAGAGGCAATCCGACCTCTCCTCGCCCCATTTGCCCGTATTAGTCACCACAATAGCAGAACGTGGGTTTCCGCTTGAAGACATGTCCATAGCATGATTGCATAAGTCAAACTGCAGATTCGATATAAGATCGTCCTACGCTTGATTCATCCACAAACGATGGGGTCTCCTGTTCTAGAGGTTGCTTCCTGAAACAGCTCTACTCTTGCTCTAATGTACCAGAAATCTCGCAGTGGGCGTGTCTTCGTACCTTCGGGTTGCAGTACATGCGGCGATGGCCGAACTAAAGCCTCCATGGGAAAGCAGAAGCAGACAGCAGACAGACAAGTATCACCTCAGCGTATAGACAATCATCATAAGCGCACCTCGGCCAAGAGCAAGACCGGAAGAGGACCCGGAACCCTTCTACCCATCAAAGATACTACCAAATACGATATCCAGCCCTTCAGCATTAGTAAGACCTTGCGGGACACATCCATCAGCATAACAGTGCTACAGCCTCCATAAATTAGTCCGACGGCTAGGGCAGAGGCAGCGTTCCTCATGCAAGTGGATCCGTATAAAGCGGGCAAGTCGAAGAAGCAAGCTGGACTGGACCCCAAGGCGAGAGTCTTTGACGTCGAGTACATACTCTATGGCTATCCGGCCTGTACCAAGTAAACAAGAAATTACGCCAAGGGAAGACATGTGCCTTAACTAACTTTGCGATTCGCCATCACTCACAATCATTTGAATACCTACTATCAAAGTATTCAGTTCAGCCGATTTCCACTTGGCCATATTCCGGACCAAACGCTCTTAAGCTGCGGCAGGCGACATCTTCATCTCTCTAGGATATCCGTTTCCCTAGACTCGAGATATACAATGATAGACGAACAGCAATCGAGAGGCTGTACTTCGGCTGGTGCAAGAAAAGGACAGAGATATGCCACGATCCGATAGACTGCGCTCGACAGCTTCGTGAACCGTGATATCACAGATAAAAGTTTGGCTTTGCCCTCTTTGTGACTTTGAACGCGGGTGTTACGGCGTGAAGGGTTAGCTTCTCTTTCAACCCCCCGGAGTTCACTACGTGGGAAAGACACCTGTGACCGGTGCTCAAGTATCTAACCAAGCCTGGGTTATCTCTTCAAGGACCACGTGTTTCACAACACCTAGGAAGACCGCCAAGAAGAGGTACTTTGGCCTTGGCTGCCGTTCGAAAACCAGTAGCAGCAAGCTCTGCTCAAGCTAGTAATCTATAAAAGCGTGACAGGACTGCGATGCGGGAGGCGGGAGGCGGGAGCAGCAGCAAACGTAGGATCAAGCAGCCACAGGGACCGCGCGAGCAGGGAAGGTGAAGTGGAAGCAGGTCTCTAATTATTCGAGGTAAGTCCCAATGTCCTACATCAAGCAAAGGCAATCTCCGGGTTTTCATCTACTATATTGTTCATCGTCGCACACGGACGTATTCGTCGTGTCGAGTGGTAGGAGGACAGCTAGGGATACAAGGTAGCTGGGATAAAGGAAGATGGCTTTGATGAAAGAGGATAGCTAAGACATGAGACGATAACGAGTATAAAGGAAGATAGTTTATAAGTATACGACCGCAAGATATTAATTAACGCGTCCTGATAACCTATGTTAAGTTGAGGTAAGCTACGTCCAACGCTGTTACTACTGTTGTCTCAAAGGTTAAGTCAACTATTTTAACCGATCTTTACGAGGATATAAAGTCTTTTACTACTTCGTTCATCTTTACACACATTCACATTTACCCTATCGAGTTAAACGGAGGCTAGTATAGGGGAAGATAGCTAACACGTTCTATTTAGACAAGCAATAACAACGATGTTTTGACTCAGCTATAAGGCAGAGGACGATACATATATGGAAACTTTAAGACGTTGCTTTTGCCATCTTTGATGTCTTTGGTGAGAATTGCCTCTCTTCCTATACACTCTTGAGAGATCTCAGATTCTCTTCAATAACGACTGTAAAAGGATGCTGGATAGGAGCTCACTCGCTGAAGCTGGAATAAAGGAACACTGCTCTTATACCAAGTACGACGATCAACGGAAGCATTTGGCCTAGTCATTAGTAGAGGATCAGGGTCCGTCAAGCTGACGTCCCTTTCAGTACGGAAACGTCGGTCTCTAATCGGGCCACCGCGACCAAAAATCATGCCTTACTGTATATCTTTTGAATAGGGTCCCTGTGGTGCAAGTACATGATAAACATGATATAGAGGACATCACCGGTCACGGCATCCAGATGCAGACACATGGAGGTAAATTTAGGGGTGCGTGGAATGGATTTGTTCGCATACATGGTTTTAGATACAGTACTCTACAGCGCGTAGTCTCGGTAGACGGGCGCGGACGGGATACTTGGACTCACGACATGTTCTGTCGCAATCTGCAGTAACCTTGTCGTCCTGCCGTTCTTCATCGAGATGCTCCGCGAGAGCGGCATGCCCGGTTCCTAATGCTATCTTGAACCCATCACCGTGTAAACCCATTGCTTTTGTTCTCCAATAGTTGAAGACATCATCATGACTTTTTTATAATAATGTATGCCGTGTTATTACACAGGAAGCCACCATTCGTATAATGGCCGCTGGAAGCCTCGCGTAAACAAAGGAAGAAGCTTCGATATATATGAAAAGGGGATATGTCGGTCGCGTTGACTGGCAATATTTATCCCATAATCATGCCCTTCATGCCAGACAGGTCACCCTCCTTGGCAGCAATCTCGAAGTAGCCGTAGATGATGCTAAGTGCTCGTTAGAAATGGTTCTTGTAAACTTTGAACAGAGACAGAAACTTACGTGACAGCCAGGAGAGTACCAGTGCCGGAGCCGAGGGCGCCCATGAGGTCGCTGGCAACGGAAAGAGCACCGATGCAAGCACCGCCAAAGGCAGCGGCAGTGGGAATGATGCGCTTGAGCTCCTTGTACATGCTCTGGTCGCGGTGACCGGCCATGACGAGACCCTGGTCCTTGAGCTGCTTGGCGACATCGCGGGGGCTGGAGCCGGAAACCTCAATCCAGGTCTTGGAGAAGATGGCGCAGGCACCCAGCATGTAGACGATGTAGACAGCGGTGTGGATAGGGTCGAGGAGGGCGTCCTTGAAGTTCAAGGGGGGAGACATGTAGTAAGCCAGACCGGAGATGGCAGAGAGCTGGGCAGAGCCGTCCTTGGCCTCCCAGACACCGAAAAGACGGACGAGGAGGTTGTCAGAGAAGCGGGAGTACAGCATCTGGCTGATGAGGAAGATGTTGGAGGACAGAGCGGACTGCAGCATGATGGGCATGTTGGAGGTGTAGAAGAGGCGGACGGGGTAAGAGCCGCGGGCACCACGCTGGCGGGAGGACTTGACGGGGATCTCGACGCGGAAGCCCTGGAGGTAGATGACAGCGGCGAAGACGAGGATGGTGGCCAGAAGGTTCATGATGTTGGGGAGGTTCTGGCGGTAGAAGGCCTCCTGGAGAGCGCGCTGCTTGTTGGGCCAGGTGAGGAGAAGGTGGAAAAGGGCGATAACGGCACCCTCGAACTCGGGGCCACGACCAGTGTTAATGGTGGTGGGGGAGAAGGCCTTCCACATGATGGACTCGCAGATGTTGGTGGCGATGAAGAGAGAGATACCAGAGCCGAGGCCGTATCCCTTCTGGAGGAGCTCGTCGAGGAGAATGACGATCATGCCGGCAACGAAGAGCTGGAGGACGAGGAGGAAGACGATACCGGCGCCAAGGTCGGAAGGTCGGCCGTAGAGACCGGTGAAGACGTAGACAGTGGCGGTACCGGCGGAGAGAATGAAGGCAAAGAGCTTCTGGGCAGTCTGGTACAGCTCGCGGTCGCTCTTGAGGTCGAGGTTGACGTCGATCATGTGGGTACCGGCGAGGAGCTGGAAGACCATGCCGGAGGAGATGATGGGGGTGATACCCAGCTCCATCAGGGTTCCGCGGTTACTCGCCATAACCATACGCAGCCAGTATAGGGGATCCGAGTTGTCGGAAGAGACAATGCCGTAAAGGGGCATCTGGCTCATGACCAAGAAGATAAGGAGGGTGAGGGCCGTCCACATCAGCTTCTGGTTGAAGGGAACCTTGGTCTCCGGCTGCTGAACCTCAGGGAGGAACGGCACGAACGGCTTGACCAGGTCGAGGAACCGTACTGTGATGGGAAAGCGCGTTGGTTAGCCATTGAGTTGTCCTAGTATGATGTGGGTGCTCGTTGGCCATTGCGGAGGCATCGTTGGCGACGAATATCGCGCGCGTGTCCTTTTTGGAGCTATGCGCCCCAAAGCACGCGATTCGCGGAGGTTGACGAGGTTGGGTGGATGAACTTACGGGAACTCATGATGGGCTGTTACACTGGGCAGAAATCAATAAACAAAAGGATTAATTCATCCAGATGAAGAAGGGGAAAGAAGAGAGAGAGATGGAGAGCGACAATGGCTCCAGAGGTTGTGGCGAGGGGAGTGAGGAGGAGTGGTGATGGGGAGATGGAGAGAGGAGGTTATTAAGGAGAGAGGGAGCAAGAGGAGCGGGAGGGAAGCCCAAAAAAGAGGGTCGGCTGCGATCTGGCTTCAAAAACGCCAAATTGTCGATGTGTCCAAAATTTTGGTGGAGCTTTGTCAGAACACGTGATGCGTCCAATCACTCAGGTGCCTCTCAAGTGCCTTTACCTTAGTACGTAGAGTACCTATTAGGTACCTTAATACCTCCTAAAATGACCTAGGAATTGGGGGATTCAGGGGAGAGCTTTAAGCTGTGCTCCTCCACATTTTCGGCTCGAGCTTCCAGCCAGGGGTCTTCAGGGATCCCAGCGCCCACCCAATCCAGTGCCTGCCCGCTAAACTTTTTTTCTTCTGGCGCGTTCCGACGCATTCTGATGCCACCTGCCTCCCAATCTCCTCCAGATTTCCGAGTACCTAACTGTCACCATTCAGAGTCATCGCAGAGTCACCCAAGACTCACCACCACAGGACACGAAACAGCATCTGCAGTCGCGATGCTGTAGACCTCCCCCGTGTCCTTTCTCGGTGGTTCTCTGGGTATGATCTTTCGGTCTGTGATAGGCCGAAGGTTCATACACAATGTTGTTGGCAACATGACAGCCCGAAATGCGCCCGCGGAACCCTTGGTGGTTATCTTGGGATCGACCGGGACTGGAAAATCAGAGGTGAGTTGAGGAAGCAGTCGTCTCATTACCATGCGTATTGGCTGACAGTATCTGTGCGCAGCTCGCAGTCGAACTTGCGACTCGCTACAATGGCGAAATCATCAACGCAGACGCCATGCAAATGTACAAAGGCCTGCCCATCATCACGAACAAGATCACCACCCCAGAGCGCCGCGGTGTTCCTCACCACTTACTCGATCACATTGGCCTCGACCGACCCACTTGGATAGTCGAAGACTTCAAGCGCGAAGCGAACAAGGTCATCCGCGAAATACGCAGCCGGGGCAACTTGCCCATCGTCGTCGGCGGAACCCACTACTACACGAATGCGCTGCTCTTTGAAGACACGCTCATCGGCCCTGAAGATGACAAAGCCAAAGACAGCGCTGCAGACGTCAAGGATGAAGACGCATCTTCGTTTTCGATTCTCAACGAACCAACCGAGGTCATACTCGCCAAGTTGCGCGAAGTCGATCCCGTCATGGCAGACCGGTGGCATCCCAACGACAGGCGCAAGATCTCACGCTCGCTGCACATATACCTCCAACACGGCCGCCCAGCGTCGGAGATCTATGCAGAACAGCGCCAGCGCAAGGCGGCCGATAACACGTCCCAAGGTGGCAATAGTGCAAGCCCTTGGCAGACACTGCTCTTCTGGGTGTATTCCGAGCCTGAAGTGCTTAAGGAGCGCCTCGATAAACGCGTGGATAAGATGCTCACCGTCGGTCTCAACGACGAGACACAGTCCATGTATGAATACGTCCAGGCAAAGGAGGCCGCTGGTCAAGAGGTGGACTACACCCGCGGTATCTGGCAGTCAATCGGCTTCAAGGAGTTTTCGCCTTACCTCAAGGCCCTGAACACCAGCGATCCTGCCACCGATTCAGAGACCTTGAACGCTCTCAGAGCCGCGGGGCTTGAGGAGATGAAGACATCAACCCGACAATACGCAAAGTATCAAACGCGCTGGATCCGTACCAAGATTGTGCCCCTGCTCCAGGAGCAACCGGGTGCGCTGAATCACCTCTTCGTCATGAATAGCACCGACGTGTCGCAATGGTCGTCCAACGTCGCCGAACCGGCCGTCGATATCGCAAAGCGTTTCCTCAAGGGCGAGGCCATGCCCGCGCCTACGGACCTGTCGGAGACGGCGCGGGAGGTCCTCGGGGAAGCGACGGCGCAAACGGAGCGCACGCTGTGTCGGCGGACGTGTGAGGTCTGCAAGACGACGTGCGTCACGGAGCAGGACTGGACAAAGCACGTCAGGAGCCGGCGGCACAATGTGCTGATGAAGAAGACGAAGAGGAGGGCGCTGGTTGCTACCGAGAGGCCCTTGGCCGTCGTGCCTGCCGAGGCTGAAGGAGAGAAGGATGGCAGCGCAGAGGATCGTGGGTCGAGTCCAGAGGTTGATGGGCTGGGCATGTTTGATGCGCCGTCGTGAGATGGTCAACCTCGTCAGATCAATGAGAGAGAAAACAAAAGACTCGTACTTGAGAACTCTGCCCATGTCTCTTCATCCCTTGCCCGTTCGTCTGACCATGTTCGTCGTCTGCTCTACCCAAAGCCATGCGACTTGTGAGGCTCGGCTCGTTCTGGGTCCGAATGCGACATGCCCAGATCGTTTCCTCCCCCCTTTCCATCCCTTCCATCTTACCGTCCCTCCCACCCTCAGGTGATCACCACCCTCCTTTTGGGGTTGCAACGAGCCAAGCAAGATCCAATGTCACAAAGCTTGTTTTTCTGGTCCTTTGAAAATCCCCAAGACGTTGACCCGCGTACTCCGTATTTGCTGCCACTATTTAAACACCTTGTGAGAGGATTGTACGAAAGATACGCGGGATTGGGGATGTGACTGCAATCGTATTCGCTTCTACCCCACGCCATTTTTGATTTCTTAAACTTTGCAGTGTATGGATAAGCATAAAACCTACCTGAATTTGTGACCAAGCTTTCTCTTCGCTCGTTGCCAGTTGGATCACCTCTCGCTCTATCCCGGCCTGGTCGTATTCCTCGCTTTCGCTTTCCCTTGCCTTCTAGAAAGCGAGCTAAACGAGCTCCAAGGAGGAAAGCCAAAACGATTAAACTCCACCTTCTCGAGGGACGATTGGGGAACCTGGACTGATGCCCAAACACCAGATCAGCGAGACCCGGATCAGCAGGAGGACGGTGATACTTCCTCGGTCCATGTAAGAATTGGAGCGTTCGAAATCCGAATCCCGTTGGACAGGATGGAAATATTATTTTCACAGGCTGGTTTGGTTCCTTGGTTCCTGTGACGTTGTGGTTGTACGACCTGTGCTTGTCTCTCAATCGGGTTCTTGATGCAGCAGCAGCTAAGCTTATCTGGCAGTTACAGCTTCGTTGTCGGCTCATTCCTGGATGAGACTCGTGATGCGGATGTTTTCTGGTTTTTCGTATACGATTGGCCCAAACACGAGTTCGGTGTATAAAAGTGAGGCGGTTTTTTTTCACTGCATTTTTAACCCGTACCGCGAGGCTCTTGAATGCGATGTCCGGGGAAGATGAAATGAGCAACAGAAATTCACTGCGTTTTGAGCTGCTCCTAGGAGAGTCGCGGGTTGGGTAGGCGTGTGATGTTCCTCAGAAAATGTCACTTGCAGCCATTCTGTCAAGTCATCTGTAGGATACTTTGAACTCCCCAGTGTATTGCGTACTCTTTTTTCAGAAACCAAATCTACAAACAAGCCTCATCCGTTGTATCCCAATAGCAGTACTCAAAACAGTGTTGTAAATGGCAGATCATCTCGATCTTTCTTCTCCCCCGCTCTCTTCATCTCACCCAGGCCTCCCCTTTACTTCTCAATCTCAGCCTTAACCCAAGCCTCCAACCCACCCTTGGCAATAACCTCCTGCACATTAGGCGGCAGCTCGCCGACCTTGACGCTCCAGCTCTCGCCGCTGCCCTCGGTGACGATAACCTTGGACCGCCTCAGGTCCCAGCAGAGCTTCCAGCCCGTCCGGCGCGTAAGCACCTTGTCCTCGCCCTCGTTCTTGAACGTCTCGCGCAGGCGCTGCACGAGCTTGGGCACCTCGACGCCCATGAGGGCGTTGTTGATGCTGTTCCTGCTGAAAATGTTGCCGAAACTGCCGGACACGACGAGCGGGATCTTCTTGGCCAGGATGGCCGTCGCCGCCTGTTCGCGGGAGCTGCCGGTGCCAAAGTTGAAGCCGGACACGAGGATGTCGCCGGCCTTGGCGATGTCGCGGAAGGAGGTGTCGTAGTTCTCCATGCAGACTTCGGCCATCTTCTCGACGGAGACGTTGTCTTGGTAGGTGTACTTGCCTATTGTTTTTGTTAGAGGATCGTGTGGTTGAGGGTGTGAGTTCTCTCCGATTTACGTACCAGGGTAGATTCCATCCGTGTTCATGTTATCTTGGTCGCAGAAGATGATCTCGCCTTCCACCTTTTCGGGGAATCCGGGGAGGACCTCCGTGAGGCTGTCTTCCTCGCTCTCCGCGGCGGCAGCTGGTTCCTCAGAAGCAGGGGCGGCAGCACCGGCGACGCCCTTCTCAGACTCGGCAATCATGCTGTCGGCTTGCGCGATGAGCTGGTCGAGGGCGTCGTCGATGCTCATGGCAATGTCGGCGGTGATATCACCTACACCCTCGCCGATGATGACCTTGTCCACGCCCTGGGGCTGCTGGTACCAGCCGGGGCCGGCGATCTTGCCGTTCAACGCACTCGCGGCGACGACCTCGGGGCTGGCCAGGTAAGCCTTGGCCTCGGTGGAGCCCATGCGGCCCTTGAAGTTACGGTTACTTGCTGAGATTCCGTTCTCGCCCCTGCGTGTCTGTTAGCCATCGTTCTCCAGGAAATTGCAGAAAAGATAGTACGAACGGTTCCAGAAGACCGGTTCCCTACGAAAGAAGATGTATTAGCATATTCATCATTCCTGGTTGAAGAGACAATCAACTCACGAGACCGATGCACGGGCCACATCCTGAAGGTAATACGGAGCAGCCTGCGTCGATAAGTGTCTGCCAGTCGCCAGCCTCCTCAGCAGCCGCCTGCTCCACAGTGGAAGCTGCGGCAAGGTAAAAAGAAACACCCGGCGCGATCTTGGCGGGTTGTCCGTCCTTGGCAGCCTCACGGAAAACGCGCGCCGCAGCGGCGATGTCTGATGCACGTGAGTTTGTGCAGGAGACGAGGTAAGCCTTGTCGATCTTGATGTTCTGCGCCTCCAGGTCCTTCAGGGGCGTCGCGACCTTGACGGAGTTGGGGCCGGCGACAAAGGGGGACAGGGTCTCGAGGTTCAAGTAGAGGGACTTGGCGTATGTTGCGCCGGCGTCGGCCGTGAGGGGGTTCTCGAGAAGCTCGTCGATGCGCTCGTGGGTCCAGCGGCCCTTGACGGCGGCATCTGTGTTGAGCATCGCCGCGGTGGTGGCCTTGGCGCGGAGCCATCTTTCCAGTGTCTGATCGATGGGGAACAGCGCGGACAAGGCGCCCCATTCTGTGCTCATGTTTGCGACTGTTATGCGCTCGTCGACGGGGATGCTTCGCATGGTCTCCTCGGAGCCGGTGAACTCAAGGGCGTGGTTCAGGACGTCGTCCTTGTTGAACAGGCCGCAGAGCGCGACGATGATGTCCTTTCCGGTGACACCGGGGGGCTTGACTCCGGTCAAGGTGATCTGAGCAACCAAGATTAGTGACGAACCCCTGAGCAACGGCTGATGATAGACCGTACCTTGGCAATAGGGGGAACTTGGTACCATGTGCGGCCAGTGGCCCAAATGGCGGCGGCATCTGTTCGGACGACCGCGGTACCAAGGCATCCGATACCACCGTAGTGGTTGGAGTGACTGTCTGACGCGACAGCCAAGGTACCGGGCCAAGCGTAGCCCTCTTCCACCATGATCTGGTGACCGATTCCACGTCCGGCCGGGTAGAATACCACGCCGTGCTGCTTGCCGAGATCCTCAATCTTTTTGTATTTCTTCAGGTTGGCCTCGCTCTTGTTTTGAACATCGTGATCGAGGGTCCAGACGAGTTGTGAGGGGTTGTGAATCTTGGTCGCTCCGATGGAGACAAACTTATTGCTGATGGGCGCCGTGTTGTCATGGGACATGCACTTCCCTTACCAATTGTAAGCCTGACGCGCTCGTGGTCTTCTTATGCGTATGCATATAGGAGGAGGAGGAGGGGTATTCACCAGGAGAGAGGGTGACGTAGTCGCCTGCGCGGACCTTCTTGCCGGACGCGAGGCCTAGCGAGTGCCGCTGGACAATCTTCTCCGTCAACGTCTGGGGGTTTTCGACTTTAGGGGCGGATGTGTAGAGGAAGTCGGTCGCAGTCGCGGCGTTTTCGAGTTGTGAGTGAAAGGCATACTGGCGGGGACGGGTCGTCGTCGTGTAGAAGCTGGGCCGGATCGATCGCGAGGGAAGCTGGCGCTGCAGGAGACTGCGACGGCAGCTCCTTGCGGCGTGGAGCGCCACTGTTCTTCTCTGTTGTAAAACACGAGGGGTTAGCACAGCCTCGTAGTGAAGGAGCAGTGATATGAGATGGCACACGTACAATGGGCAACATTACGACTTCAATTGGGTAGGCCAATGGCCAAAAGTTGAACAATTTGATCTCCGGCAATTCGCGACGTCGTCAAGGTCGTGACTGTTCGGCAACCGGATCCAAAAATTTGGAGTCTGTGGGGAAATGACCGATGCCGGGGTGGGGCTCCCGCTGCCGTTCTGTGAAATTACCTTTGGACGCGGTCTGATTGGTCGACTTCGGCACCTTTTCGGCATCCCTTATCGATTTCTCTATCCTCATCGGTATCTTATCGATAAGAAGAACCGGGGATTGCACCAGGAACCTTGAGATGTGGAGGTGATCCGAAAAGCGAGAAATACGACGAGCTCCGGTAACGAATACGACGCCGCATCCGCAGGCAGGCATTACCGCCGGCTGTACCCGGATCACGGAGATAAATGCCGGCTCATGATATATAATTCCGCCGTGAGCTGCGGGGCATTCACAAGAGTCAATTGAAACTCCGCAAATCTCTCCAGTGTCTACTGGTTCTCCAGACTGTCTGCGGATACGATTGCTGGTTTAGACACTACAGGTGCGCTTTCGACGGGCGAGCAGATCTGAACGATCCCAACGCCGATCTTGCTCAATGTCTAGCGGAAGAAAAGCAGGAGGAGGCTAGCAAAACAGAATTTCAACTGATAAATCCAGTCTCTTGTCCAAGACGCTGGCAGTGCTGATATGCATGCTTATGGCAAGGAGTTCTCGATGTCTTGGTCACCAACATGTCACCCAGTTGATGGCTAAACTGTACGCAGTATGTAAGTAGGGATCTGGCTTGCTGTCTCTATTGTGCAAGACAGCACGTGCCAATGGTCACTTGATCAAGTTCGGAGTGATTAGATGCCTCAAGGTTTGTGCAATTTGCATATTTCTCGTCGCGAGCTGCTACCTGTGCACAATTCTATGAGCCGCATGCAATGGAACGACGGGATTTCCTTGTGCACAATCTGCAGCCGCCGTAAAACTCACGGATTCGGCGAGTAAAAAGCCCCCTCCCTTCGCACCTCGGGCATCTTGGATCTCGGCTTGCGTTCGATTTGTTCAAGGTCGGGCCTGCATCCCTCCGATAGCTGCCCACCATCATCTCTCAAGTAAGGCACCCTGTGTCTATTACACGTGTCAACTGACAGCCCGTGAGATGAATGAATTCTTACCTACCTTTACCACCCTTACGCAGTATGGGTTCCTTGGTCCTTGGATGCCACCTTGCTTACGGAGTACGGCAGTGCGCCCATACAAACTGGTCCGGCTCCGTGCCTTGACGCAATGCCGCCAGGGCATCGCCCGCTGCTAAATATGAGGCCATGGACACAAGAACCAACGGTTGCTTGGCTCTCCGGATAGGCACTTGCCTCATAAGTGCACGGGGAAAGAGAGCCAATAGATGATGGATGCGATGCGTTGTCCGCTATTTTAGACGCATGTCCAAAGGGAGGGTCTTTATTCCTCACCCTAAGGATGCTGGCATCTCTCTCACTTGTAGGAGACTGTGAGTAGTTAGCTACCGTCAGGTATGGCTCATTGTGGCTCATGCTCCTTCATGGCAAGGATCTCGGACCTCTTGTTTCCATTTGGGCTCACTTTCCAGTCCACCCCCTCCATCCAATGCTCGTCCGTCATTTCCCCTCCGCAACCCACCAAGAACCTCCGCAGAAAGGGCTCCTTGACGTGGGTTAAATCTGTCATGAACTCTGTGACCCCGGCCCCCTGTCTTCATCGCTATTCGTGTCTATCCGTCCGTATAGTAAATGTCTCTTACCAGTTCCTTGGACCTTGGATCTCCCAATTCAAGTTGATCTCTTCCAATTGTTCCCGAACTCCTTAC